CAGGTCGTAGTTCTCGAACGACATTGTCACATCCACGATCGTCACACGCTTCTTGACATGGTCGACGAGGGCGAGATCGGGACGTAGTTGACCATCGGTGCCGGGGATCTTGACGTTGACGTATTTTGTGGTGGTGTCGGGCAACTTGATGGCGTTGATGAGGCGGTCGACGATGGCATTGTGACGGAGGGTGATCGCATGGTTGTGGACTGGACAATGATTGAGCACATGGGCGACGCTCTCGATCGTGGCGCCACATCTACGGCAGGTCTTGTCATGGTGATCACGGGCACGCTTGCATCCATTCAGCGGCACCACGTCGAGTCTTGCGCGGTGAACGAAGCGCCAATCCGCAAAACGGAGGAAGCGTCCGTCACGCATGAAGTAGTTGGAGCAGGGCTGGCGAGCGGTGATGTTGTAGACCTTCCCCTGACTCTTTTTGGCGGTGAGGTGAACGAGTTGAGCTTGATGGACGGCGCCCTTGAGCATCTTCTCACACGTCTTCTTGGTGACGCCACATCCGAGCACGAGCAGTTGGATCTTGTCGTTGGCCCAGGTCCACTTCACGTCGAGCTTGTCCGTCTTGACCAGCCGTCCCGTTGCTTGTCGCACTCTTGTCCACATGTTGCGGGTGTCGGCGTAGTACGTCTCGAAGGCACCGTCGAGCTTCTGGTTCAGGTAGTCGGCCACTTCGGAGTCGGTTGGCGCACGAAGGAGTTTCTTCTGGGCAGCCGTGCGGAGCAGCTGAGCAGTCATTGGGCCGAGATCAGTCGACTCCAACAACTGGACAGCATGCACCAGCTGCATCACGTCGGCGAGGGTCTTCGTCTGGATGAAGCCGAGTCCTCCCATCTCATTCGGCAGGTAGAGCACTTCAGGGCTTGCTTGACTTGGCAGGTTGAGCCACATTTTGCCGTATTTCTTGAGCTTCTTGTCGAAGGGGATGAGGTGCTTCTTTTTCTCCACGTAGCCGTTCTTCAGGTGGAAGCCGATGCACGGGAGGATGAAGGTCTTGACGGCATCAGCCTTCTGCCATGGAGCCAGCAACGAGTTGTGGACCTTGTCGAGGCACTGGTGCATTTTGTTGATCGTCTTCTCAGCGGATGAGCCTTGATAGTAGCCGGTGGGCACGCCGAGATGTTCGTAGTGGTCGTCGGAGTCGAGCGTCACCATCGGAGAGCCTTGAACGGAGTACTTGATCGGCATGGCAGTGTGCTTGTTGGAGTTGACGACGAGACTTGCGCACTTCTTGGCGTTGTACACGAGCCCCAGCCACGTAGAGACTTCGGACACGGTCTTAAGCACAGCATGTAGATCGTCGGGATCCTTGGTCACGATGGCAAGGTCGTCAGCATAGGCGAGCACAGACACCGTTCTTCCATTGATCACGAAGCCAGCATCCATGTTGATGACGGCACGGATGACGGGCTCGAGCGCAAGGTTGAACACGATCGGCGAAAGCGGACAGCCCTGCTTGACACCCGCTTGAATGTTGATGGCCGGAGTCGGACCAGTAGAACTTCGGACACATGTTGTGGCACCTTCGTAGAGACGACGAATTTCTTCAATTGCCTCCACCGAAAGGCCAGCGTATTCGAGGCATCGGAAGAGCGAGGCATGCGGGACGGAGCCGAACGCGTTGGAGAGGTCGAGCCAGGCAATGGCGCACTTGCTGTCGATCCTTGTGTCGCGGCGGGTCTCGACGATCACGGACTGGAGGAGGAAGTTGTGCTCTGTGCACCCATCGACCGGCATGAAGCCCTTCTGCTCATTGGAGATGCGGTTGTGGAGGCGGGCCCATCTGCCGAGACGGCGAGCCATCACGGACGCGTACAACTTGGCGACGGTGTTTGAGAGTGTGATGGGCCTCCAGTTGGAGACGTCATCCTTCGGGCCTTTTTTGTGCACCAAGATGGTGTTGGAGCCGTTCCAGGAGCTTGGGATGTACTTGAGGCGGCGGACGGCATTCATGTAGGCGGCGAGGACCTTGGCACCCGGGTCGAACAGCTTCAGCACAGAGTAGCGGACACCATCGGGACCAGACCCAGTGTTCTTGACGTGGAGAAGACGATCCCAGAGTTCTTGTGGCGTGTAGTCGTCAGCAAATGGATTGGAGTCGCCATCTGGGATGTCATTGTCGTGTTGTGGAACCGATCGAGGGAGTCGGCTTTGGTCGGGCACATCGGTTCGTTCGAACACTTTGGAGAAGTGGTTGTGGAGGTCGTCACTCGGGATATCGCAGAACGGCGAAGATTCCTCCGTGATTTCCTTATAGGCTCTCGGCCGAGACCGACGGTAGAGCTTCTGGATCCGAGAGGCGGCTTTAGGGCAGTAGCGGGCTTGGGCACGTCTCCGTCCTGTAGGTGTGCTTGGTGGCGGCGGACGAGCTCGGGCTGGTGGCTTGCGTGGCGGCGGCTTGTCCCGTATCGAGTATTTGGCCTTGATCACGGTAGTCAGTTCATCGGCCAGCTTTTCCAAGTCTGCTGTGTCGGCCACATCCGTAAACCGTGTGACCCATCCATCTTGGGAGATGTCCATGAGGGGTCAGGTTGATGAGGAGCATCTGGAGATGGTGGACGGCTTGGCGGCGGGCTTGCGGCTTGAGCACGGGCGGGGCGACGCACAGTGTTGACGGGCGTGACGAACGTCTCAGATTCGCTATCACTGGAGCGCACCCTTGGACTCACAGGCTGGGGGGACCCAGGTCTGATCCGCCGTGGGCTATTCCGAGCGACAACGGGCTGGACGGGTGGCGGTGGCTGCGTGGCGGCTTGTGTGCAGGCGACGGTGTTGGCTTGGTGGTACTTCACCGCTTTGATCGTATCAAAACGGGTCCGGCAGACGGCACATCGGAACTTGATGGCGAGGTGGTGGGTGAGCTTGAGATGCCGCGTGAGTCCCCCCTGCAACTTATACGGTCCCGCTGCACAAATCCGACACTGGTAGGTATCGATTGGCGTTGGTAGGTAATAGAAGCCGGGGTCCTCTGGGCAGGCGTAGTCGTCCTCCTCGTCCTGGTCTTCCGGGGCTCCGTTACGGCCCCCGTCCGAACCGGCCTCCGAGGAGGGCGAGTCGACGGGCAGCACGTACACGTTGCCATCCGGAATCCGCAGGCTGTCGTCGTCCTCGTCGTCGTCGTCCTGGGCCATCTTGGTTGGCGCTACTACACATTGATCTTAGCCAAAGGCCAGAAGCGATACAACATCAGCCAACGGCGTGTATATACCACATACAGGACGGCCAGGCCGGTGGCTAGTCGATTTGGGTCAGAAAGGCCACATAGCGCGCACACCCGCGACAGCCATACCTGTCTGGGTTCTCTGCGGGAGGGTGGTCTCTCTGTGTTTCTATTCCCAATTCCTCTAGAATATCCCACTATATCGTACGGTACGTTAGAATACACAGGAAGTGGCGTTGGATAGGTCTACGAGGCGATTTGGGCATTTGGGTGGGCTGAAGTGATAAGGGGGAGACTGATTCTTGGGGGTAGAAATCGCGCAAATGGCGCACTAATGCCAGAAAATATTAGAAAGGGTTGTTTCTATTAAAATGAGTATAAAATGTTGTATTGTATGCATTAGTTTTGCTTAGAATTTGTAAAATATAGATTTTTAGTGAAAATTCGCTTCAGAGCTTTAAAAACTATCCTATTCATAATGGCTATAATACAGGAAATTCGCCCGGATTCCTGTAATGACATATACACCTCGGGTTCTATTAAAAAAGAGCGTAGAATTCTGTATTTAACATCGACTTTAAATTAATTCGAAAAATACCGAGTTTTGGCCTTTATTGGCTTTTTTGCGTGTAGGTAAATACTCAATTTCTGATGCCTCTGCACTTTTTGTAGAGATCCACAGTCTCACATTACCCTTCAAATCAATAAACCTCTAAAATGTCGCTTCCTTCTATGGCCGAGTGGTTAGCGCGTTAGACTGTTAGGCGCGGGGCCAGGGTTCGACCCCTGCGCGCGGCAAACCTTTTTGCTTTTTGCTCCACGGGCACTAAAGGCCTTTATTATTCTCACACTGCATTGATTTTTTGGCTATCTGGGTGGTAGGCCCGATTTGACCTACTTTCGGCCCCCACTGCCTACTCGTGGTATTTGGCGCCAAATCGTCAGAAAAAGGCACAAAGGTTGTCATTATGAAGGCAGATTAAGTATAAAAAATAAATTAATACAAGGTTGATACAACCCACAATGAGTCATGAAAAAATAAAAAAGCTAAAGAAAATCCTATAATTTAAGGATTTACAAAAATGTTACAAAAGAAATTTATTAAAAGCCAAACAAATATAAAATCAAAAATTTGTTAAAAGCGTACAATTTTAACCGTATTAAAAATCTCAATACCTACGCTCAGGCCTAGAAACTATGAAACATTTTGTTGCTGCAACGGGCAATCGATAAAACGGGCAATCGATAAAACGGGGCACTGGATTGTTAGCGGGGGGGGGGCAGTCTAAAAGGAAAATCGTTAAAATCTCTATAAATCTCTAGAAAGTATTATTAGTACAGCGCGATATTACATTAAAATAGGCATTAAAAGTGAGGAGAAACGCTAAAGCTATCGCTAAAAAGATCGAAAATCTACATCGAGAGGTGTAAAATGGAATCATTCCCAGCTTGCTATTTTTAACCCGCTAATAATTTATAGTGTTTTTATGGTATTTTAAATAGTTTTTGATTTCTATGAAGTCATAACATATATTTTTCAACATTTTCAAAGTCTCCAAAATTCGAGATTTTTTCGAATGTTTCATATATTTTTGACGAAAAAGTAAAAATTTTTCCAAAATTCTACAATTTTTTTACTAGATTTTTATCTATAAAATTGTGTAAAATCACTAAAAATAGTTTAAATCCCGTTAATAGGGCCGTACGGAAATACCCAAAAAATGGTCTCTCCCCCCGTTAAGCGCAAAGCTCCCGGAGTATCAATTTTCAGGTGTTCATCACGGTCTTCTCGAAACACGGCAAATGGATGAATTGGGCGGTGATGGTCGTCTTTCTCGCCAATTCCATCGCAAACCCTATTTTATACCTATTTTTCAGGTATTAATTTAATAAGATAAATATCATAAAGATAACTGTAGTTATTTAATAATTATATAAATTTTATAAGTTTTATTTTTTGTACTAAAACCTATTTTCAGCAGCGTCATTCGAAAACATGTCCTTTTCGACTTCCGGCATCGCTTCAGCCTCTCGGCAATGTATAACGATTATGAATATCGATCGTCATTATCACAGGTAAGTTTTTTAGTAAATTTGAGAGTTTTAAAACAATATAAAAAATTAAATAAAAATACCCGTAATCAAAATACCCGTTGAAAATTAGTCCCAAAGGCAAAAACCATTTATTGCTGTTCATTATTTTCAACTTGCGAATGCCAGAAAGTGAAACATTTTTGCTAAAAATCAAAAAATTTAAATTGCGGACCTTATCTAATGAAACTATATTTATATTCTTCTACGCATTAAAAAGAAATATTTTTGTAGTCCCCACCCATCAAAATTGATAATTAGCGACCGCTATTCCTCAAGCTCATATAGCATGGTCTGAAACATTTTTTCACAGAATCGAAAATTCAATGATTTTTTTAAGGAAACTATGTTTATATAGTCGATTATATTAACATCAACATAAAAGTATTTCAAAAATTGCTTTATTTATTTTGAAATTAAATGTATAATTTTAATTTAAAAATTGCAATACTACAGGCTCCACACTAGAATTAATTGTTACAAAGATTCCGTATAAATGTCGGATTTTGAAACATTTCGTTCATTTCGAACTAGGAATATCAAGGTAAATCCATGTAAAGTGTCTAAATTGTATTGCCCAAGTGCACTAGATTAACTGAAAAAATTACTAATTAATTCAACTATTTTGCAGCACCGACAAAGTCTCCTCCGGGCCCGCGACACGACCATCTCCTCGGATTTGAACAAATTCCCAAAAGCCAGCATTTCGTGTTGACAAATTATTCTCGGTCCGCACTGCTTGATTTTAAAGATGTTGTGAAGGCAAAATCTACATTCTGTTTTTTTTCGATATTTCAAAGCAGTCATTTTTGAGCTAAGACTCTACAAACTCAGCGTTTTTGCCTTCCCAGTCCCTTTAATCCCACCTTTTTCTATCAAACGTGACAAAATTTCGATCTCGAAGATTTTTCTCCATTATTAGATCTCAAATAATTTTTGGTAAAATGGCAAAAAAAGAAACATTTTACCAAAAAAATCAACAAAATTTCATTCCTTTACTTTCCTATAACACATCAAATTGTGAAAAAAACCGGTTAATTTTTGTTGATTCTCTCTCTCCCTCTTTCTCTCCCCCTCTCTATCACGCCCTCTCTCTCTCTCTCTCTCTCTCTCTATCACTCTCTCTCTCTCGATCGCTGTCCCACCTCCTAATTTTGTATATCTGCAATGCATTGTGATTGATGAAGCGTCGTGTCATTAGTATCGTTTCGTTGTCAATTATTTTTTGTATCCATCCGGAATTTTTGGTTGACGATTAATTTTTGATGTTTCTTAGCATAAAGTGTATTCACAGCTTTTGGACAAGGTAATCGGCAGCGGGGAACAGACACCACACTAAAACCTGCGTAATGCGCTAAAATATATACGCATGAATACGCGTGAATATACGCATCAATACACGAACTTTTTGAACCTCGACATTTAGAAAATATTGAACATTCATTTTTTCAGCTCAATTCGATAATTCGTAGATCCGAATCGTAGTGAGCTGGGTCTGGGTGGGTGGGTTGATTGGGATTGAGCCGGACCGACGAAAAAAAGGAGCAAAAAGCAAACCAACAATTTCTTGGAGACCCCCAATGATGTAATCTCGAACGCAATTTAATTAAAACAGAAATACCACATTTTTATTTATTTGTATCCATCCGAATTTTGATGTTTCATAAGACAAAGTGTATCCCCAGCTTTTGGACAGAATAATCGCTCACGGGCATTCGCCAGCAAAAAACCGCCGTAGAGCTCTAAAATACCTTTTTTGGTCGTCGTCAATATATTTACAATCCAATACTGGCAGTTTTAGGCCATCGACATATAAATAATCTGCAACAATCATTTCCTCAGCTCGACTTCGAATTCCGTTGTTCCTGTTTCAAGCCATTTTCTGGAGCTGAAAATTAAAGTGGGTTTATTGGGAGACGTCACCATGAAGAAAAACAACAATTTGTTTGGGATCTAGCTGATGTAATCTCGACCATCAATGCATCCAAATCGTAATTTCGTTTCATTTTGGATGTTTTTTATATAGGCCTGATTTTTTGGTCGTGTGCGAATTTTGATGTTTCATAAGAGAAGCTGTAACGCGTGTTTTTGGACAAAATAATAGGCTAGCGAAATTCTGTACACGTCTACTGCAACACAAAATCCCACGTACAATGCGCTAATCAACCTTTTCTTGTTTTATAATCGAATTTTTTAGTGTTTTGTACAACATTTTTAAAGGCTAATTATCGATTTGCTTTTAGTAATACTGTTGTAAGGAACAGAGCTAAAAAAGTAAATTTATTTCCTCAGCTGAAATTCGAAACTAAAAGGCCGAAATTCCCAAAAATAAATTGCGCTTAAAAATAACATAAAAATAACGAAATTTTGCGATTTATTGGTGCGGCCGAAAACCCCGGCTTCAAAATCAATGTTTCATTAAATTTTGGTGAGAAAAATTAAAATGTCACTTTAGTGCCAAAGCGCTATATCACCAAATCCAATTAAAAATTAAAGACGAGATACCTATATACGTTATGTTTATTTTACATCTATTTAAAAAAATTACTGCTAAGCCAAAACTTTGAAATTCGTTGAAATATATTTGTGGGTGTTTCACACCTTGTACTTCAGTTGAAACTAGTTTCAGGGACAATCCAGCCAGTTTTGCTGAGACCAACATTTTCGCGAAAATCCCCGCAAATACCGGGGGAATGTCATTAGGGTGTGTTGCGTAGTGATGAGATTTCGAGATGACCTAGGGGCTATTTCCAGAGCCCCTCCAGGCCTCGGGACCGTCATTAGGGATTACCGTAACCTCGGTGTTGGTCTCGGTAATCTTCTAAAAATCCCTTTCCCGCTCTCTCTCACTCACTCTCACGCTCTCTCCCTCTCTCCCCCTCTCTCTCTTCTCATGGTCAGCCGGTCCAGATATTTTCGCGTGTGTGCGTGTAGACCGTCACAGCGGATTGTAGCGGAACTTTGGGCCGGATGCTGATTTTAAGGGGATTAAGGAGAGCGTCGTGTCGGGATGGTTTATTTACGAGGTATGATTTAAAGAAATTACTATTAATCGAATTAAAATGACTTTAAAAACTTGGTTTTTGGAAATTTTTATAATCCCTTTTGAACATTAACTGAGGTTGGGAAGTTCAGGATTTTACAAAGCATCATGCAAAATTAAAATCCCGAGCGGGAAGTGCGAAAATGGGAATTTTTGTATTAACGTTATCGAGAGACACGCGAAGGCTGCATTATGTATTGACTCTGGGAACAAACCATTGACCTGGTTGGATTTTGAAACACACTTTGGCTCATCCACGGTGCCTTTTTTCCTTTTTAACTCCTGTAAATTTTCATATCCTTATTTTATCTTGTAACGCTATTTCAGGAATTTTCCAAATTAGCGCTTTTGCCAACACCGGTGCAAAATATATTGAAAGTTACCGGATGGAATTCGCGCCTATACCTGATTTATCTTTTAGGAGCCTAACTTTCCACCAATTTTCAGCCGGTTTGGAGCGTGTGACCTGACAACCTCTACATGTAAGCCCAAAGCAACCCTTTTTGCCTACAGATTTTTTGCGATCGTCATTTTCCACTTACTGGCAGATAGCAGAGCCCTCAATTTTTATGCCTACGCCCCGCTCGCACAGTGTCGGTTTTATTGGCGGTCGTATCTGATAGCTCGCAGCTTTCCCGTATAAAGCCCAAACTTTCGAGAGGATGCTAAAATGATAACTACCACTATGCTTAATATAGATTTAAATATCCCTTATGAAATTTTATACATGTATTCAGTTGTGAGAAAAGCCCCAGAATATAGTGTTTGTGAATTTATTATGAAAGAATTACCCAAGTGTAGCAATATAAGATCCCCGCTAGAACTCTGTGATGCCCTTGGAATAGACCTACACGCGGAAGTGAAGAAGCTACCGAACAGTTTTAAAGAAGAACCCTATATGCCGAACCATATTGAACTTTTTTTTGGATGCGGCAGCAAAAAGTCAAGAATTCCAAGAGAAGTGCGGGCACATCCTGTTCATCATTGACTTGTCCGTCTGGCTCAAGTCTAGGAAACCCCCCCCAGCCGACTTTTCAACTTTTCTACCTTCCCTATTTTTATTTTTCACCACTTTTTTCGACTGAACTGCAATGTAGTCTTACTAATTAGCCTACGGCAAACATTTTGGTATACTTTAGAGCTCGCTAGCACAAAGGGGGGCCGAGATACAAAAGTTGGTGCCGGCTGGGGGGGGGGTTTTCTAGACTCTTACCGTCCGTCTTGATAAACTTTCGACTGCACTGCCTTCATAATGGAAAGGTTGAAAATTGGGAGATAAGTCACGTACATGAAAGTGGTAAGCTGGTAGTCAAATGTGACAGCAGACGCAAGACCAGTCCCGATACAAACATCTACACAAGACGTTTTGGCAAAGCTTCCGAGCTACGGGAAAGAATAGATGAAGATGGAAATACTAAACAATTTTCTGAGGAAGAAGTTCACTGCTCTGATTTTTATGTCCTTAAAACTCAGATGATTGGATCGAAAGGAGAAGCAGTCGAAATACTGCTGACTTGCCAGGGTGACCACATCCGCCTGGAGGATAGATGCCTCGTGGAGATCAAGGCACGTAGCCGGATAATGGACAATAACTGGGAATATATCGATGATTGGAATCGATTGGCCGCCTATGATTGGCCATTTCTAAAACTGGTCATTTTCTGGCACCGAAACGGTGTCATTGAATGGGTAGATGGCAAATTGATTGAGGATGAGCAAGATTGGTATCGCCCTCGTTGGCAAAAAGGCGATCAGCTATACGCAGACCGCCTCATACAAAAAAAAATCGAAGATCATCAAAAAAAAGGACTAAAAAGACTTTAACATCCGTCCCCCAATAGGACCACATAGTCCCTCGACTTTTTTAACCCGGTATTCATATGATAACAGTAGTAGTAGAAAGATCTGAAGATTCTGGACTGTCAGCTGGGGAGGGGAACGGCTTTTCGTTTTTCCACCTAGGCCTACGTGTCGATGAAATTTGCCGTACTTTGCTAGTTTCTAGCAGTTCTTGATTGCTAAAAAGTTATACAAAGATTTTTTAAAATTTTGAAACTTACAAAAATTTTGACCTTTTTTGGTCATTTTTAATACATTTTTGGCCGAAACGGCAAAAAAATTTCGAAAACAAAAAACAAGAAAGATACCTTCATTTCGGCGCAAAAGGAAAGTTAATCGCGAAGAATAGTTATGAGACTAACCGTTATGCGAATAAAATTTAAGCATCTTTCCATATTGTTTTGAGGTATCCTATCCTATAAGCGAGAAAAGTATGTCTGTTTTCTGTAATGACGATTTCTCGGCCGTCAGGCCGAATTTCGCGCTGATTTTTGGCATGGAGGCGGAGAAATGCATTTGCCAGACACGCATTTTTTTGTTTTGCGAAATTCCTTCATTTAGCGATTTTACAAGCAAAATAGTAAAAATCCTTAACAAAATGGGCGACCGGCCGTGGTGTTCGGGGCATAACTCCATTCCCGTTTGGAATTTCGGGCTGTAATTTGGACAACTTATGTATTCGATAGTGGGGATCACGCGCATCTTATTATTTTTACAAATTTTCGGCGCATTCAGACTCAAAAAGAGAATTTTGTAAAGTTATCAGAAGTCCTCTCTCCCGGGATGAGGCGCGCCCCAGGACAGAAGAGGCCTTTCCCGCTGTCAACCAC